CATGACTCATGACTCAGGAGGTCCTAAGCCTAACTTTGATTTTGAGATGTCCAATTTGTAATGGCAAATGCAAGACTTGTAAATAACATGTAATTGGAGGATAAAATCACTATTTTTTTGTAAACTTTATGATTAAATCTTAAGACTATGATTAAAAGTGAACAAATTGTTTACTATTCACCAAAAAGCAATTGAACATAACTGTATAGAATATATATATATATAACAGATTAAGTAACATAATTATCACTAAGTTTCTAATAATACTCAACACAAACTATGAATAATAACTCATCAAATGAAATTTGAGAACGTTCTGTAGACAAAATTTAATATTTTAGTGACAAACTACTAGTATTTTTCTACTAATGTGATATTTGATTTGGACCGATATATCCATAGTGATAATTTAGTTGGAAAGCAAAAACGAGTTTGAAAAAGCAGTATTGTAAGACTATGATCAGTCAAAGGATGATGAGTTCGCTAATGCTAAAAATGAGGACGTTTTCAATATGTTCAAGTCAAGTCTATTCTCCAACTTTATAACCTTTTCTTTTATCTTATATATATTGGATAAGCATATCGTATTTGTATTAAAATTGACTCACTTAATTAAATGTCACATAAATATTTTATTTTTATGTTAATTTCACTTTATTTAGATGTGTTGTATTATGTTTAGTCATGACCTATTTGTTAATAAGTTATGCATATTGCGTCATTTAACTTGTTTGTGTTAAGTGGGTATTATAATTATACAAGCAACGAGGTTGATTTGTCCATCATAGCAAGAATTTCATGAGCTCATTAATTCATGTTATATTAAAAATTAAAGTTTAGTTTGGTTTTAGTTTCTTAAAAAAAAATAAAAATAAAATAAAAATTAATAATTTCACAATTTTATGAAATCAATTCCATTTTTACTCTTTTCTAATAACCTTTTTTAAAAAAATTGTCAATTAAACAACATTTTAAGCCACTTTTTTAGGAGTGTCAAAATTTGACACCAGTTAAGCGGATTTGAATTTATCTTAAACGGGTTTGGGTCGTAAATGGATCGACACGATTAACTCGTTTAGTTAATCATGTCGTGTTTGGGTTAAGAGATTCAGCCCCCGTAACCTGTTTATACTCGTTTAACTATAAATCTCATAAATAAATTTCTATTTAAGTTTCAAAATTATTATTAAAACTTGTGTCTTATAATTTACAGTTGTGTAAACTAGAGGTTATTTAGTAATTTGATTGAATTGAATTTATATTTTTTAAGTATTTATTGAGTATTATTAATAATTTAAATAATATACTATTTTATTTTTGTAAATAGGTTATTAAACGGGTTACATATGTAGCCCATTTAATAAATAGGTCGAGTTAACGTTAAGAGTTTTTGACATAATTATTAAACGGGTCGTGTTCGAGTTAAGCTGTTTTGTAGAGTATACTTAAATCAATACGACACGATTACGACTTGCGAACACAAATTGATATTCGTACACTCCTTAAGAACAAGCAACTATCTTTAAAAAATAAATAAATAAATCAACCTAATTTTAACGGTTTTGTAGTAAACCCAAATGGCATTCTATTTAATACATTCTTGTCAAAATTGAGAAATTATTAAATGGTGCTAGAACATGATTCAATTTAATTAAAAAAATTAAAACAAAATAAAAAAGCCTCTAATAAAATATTATAAAAATATCTAAACATGGATTTAAGTGCAGATCACGCCGGGTCGTGAGTATGATTCGTAGTATCAGTTACAATCATGATATAATAAATTCAAATAAAATTAATATAAGCTAATAGATAAAAATTGCGTATCAGATGATACGACGTACCAGTCTTGAGAGATGTCGGCTCCTTTCAGATTTCTCAATTTTCATTTGACAAGTGACTGGACCATGTGAGTTGCCGAACATTCCGCAATCCAGAATGTCATTCTTTATGAAAGCTCCATTTTGTTTATCTTTTATAAAAAAAAAGTCACCCGCTCTTCCCGCAATGCCTTGACATGTTTACTCTTGGCTGCTCCTTTTCATTTGACCTTTCCAAGCTTTATACCATTCAACATTGAACATTATATATGCACAAATAGTAATCCACAGACAACAATATTTTTCTTAGGATGTTGTAGCAGTATCATACATGGTCAGATGCATAAATATGATTTGAATGCATGTCGAATACACATAGCATTTTAAAACGACTAAAATACATTTTTAACATTTTTAGAATGCAACATGTGTTTTTGTAATATATATATATATATATATATATATATATATATATAAAATAGGATTCAATTCAATTTAAAACATATTTTGGGCTAATTAAGAATATAAAATTTACGAAAATAAAAATAATAAACATCTAGCTGTAAGTTCCAAATTAATAATTTTACTTATAATTATATTGATAAAATGACAAAAACAAAAAAATATTTATATATATAATAATATATATTAAAGGGTAAATTGCATTGACACCTCCTTAAGGTTTCGGTTAACGTCACTCAGCAACTGGTCAATGACTTTGTTTACATTAACACTCCTTGAAGTTTAAAAGTCATAAATGCCCCTGAATTTTTAATTCAATTTTATTAAAAAAAAATATCAAGCATGTTAAATGATAAAAATAACCCCCTATCTCTTTTTGTTTGGCTTCTTTTGCGGACTTGACCCCAATGTGTCTAAACTTTTTCTAAAACTCATCATAAGCCTTCGCGATTAGTTTGATTAGTTTGATTTTCTGGTCAATGGTAGCAATGGTGGCAATGAATTGCAGTTGGTATTTCAACTTGCTCAAAACAATTTTCATTGAGAAAGGACGGTCACGATTCTTCAAGAGAGTGCTTGGCTAAGTTCTACAATCAAATAAATAAATAAATAAATCTCCCTCCAACACCAGAGAAGATGATGAGGAACAAAGAAAGCCGCCACGAGCCATTATTGTCATCGCCAACCACCATGCCAATACATGTATATATATAGATACACAGCCATGGACCCAACATGGGACCAGTGAGGGCAGGCATTTTTTATATTTTTATTTTAAACCTTAATTTTTAAAAAATTTATGGAGATGTCCCCACTAAAATTACAATTCAGCCCCACTTGATTTTTTTTTTTTTTTTTTTTTTTTTTTTTTTTTTTTTTTTTTGCATTTTATATTTTAAATTTTTAAGAATTTATGAAAGTACCCTCACTAAAATTACAATTTGTCACCACTAAATTTTATTTTTATTTTTTTATTTTTAAAATTTTTAAAAATTTATGAAAAAAACTTTATTTAAATTACAAAAATGGACCCACTATATAAGTTTGTCTCCACAAATTAAAAAGTTGTCATCCCTCACAAAAATTTATGGGTCCATCACTGTAGATACATACGTGTGTGTGTGTGTGTATATATATATATATATATATATATATATATATATAGACATATATAATATATAGTTATATATAGGTACTTAGAAAGTGCATTCAGGTAATTTCATGATTTAATAATAATTGTTGACTAGTCAAAGGGTATTTAGGTCTTTTTCCATGCGAAGAGGGGGTGTGGATATATGATTTTGAAACCTCAAGGTATGTCAATATAAACAAAGTCATTGACCAGCCGCTGAGTGGCGTTGACCAAAACCTCAGTATCAATGCAATTTACCCTATATTATATTATTATCTTTTGATACGAATCATGCCATACCTGTGTTCTAATTTTTTTTTTTTTTTTTTTTTTTTAGAGATTTTTTGTATTGTCCATATCACGTTGTGTTTTGTGAAATAGAAAAATTATTAAATTTTAATAAATAATTAAATGAAAAGAGTTTACGAGAGAGCTCTCTTGATAAAATTGTTCTTATATATATATATATATATATATATCTCACAAAATATTTGTTATCCCTAAAGCCATATCCAATCAACTATTTTATCCAAAATGCATCATAAGTAGAAAGGAAAAAAATAAATAAATAAAAGTGAAACTATTCTTTGTTTCCAAATTTATCCCACAATCATGTATAGGGTGCACACGGTTCGGATTGAACAGATTTGAAAATATTTTTTAACCAAATCATTTTTAACTAGTTAATAAAAAATAGAACCGAATCGAATCGAATCGTGAAATCAACGGAACCAAACCAAATCAAACCGTGAGAAAACAGTTTGATTCTTGTAGAATTTCAAACTGTAACCAAACCATTTATAAACAATTTCATATTTTTGGAACCATAACCAAATTAAATCGTGAAAAAAAAAAAAAAAAAAAAAAACCAAACTTTCCGATCCGATTTGATCCAGTTCGATTTATCAGTCCAATCGATTTTTTTGTGCACCCCTAATATAACAAGTTCTCTATCAATCACCTCCTCTTACATTTCTAAAAAATTAGTAGAATTAAAATAAAATTATATAAAATGTAAATTTAGTAAATTTTCTTATTATGATAATATAATAATAATATTTCAAAATCAAACGATTATTCAGCATAACTATTTTATGTAGTTTGATAAAAACGAAAAATGAGAAGATAGATAATGATGTAGATGCATTGGGCCTTACAATATTAAAACAGTGTAGAAATTATTAGATGGCCTACTCCATTTCATTTCGTAAGTGGTGGCAAAGCTCATCGTGGTCTTGCTGCAATACATTTTTGTGAGATCATTTTTTTTAATTCCAGAGTCTGAATTTAACTGATTCATCAAGTGTCAATAGACCAAAATCATCTAATAATTTATCCGAGTGTAAGGCTGCAACACAGCAGGCAAACCTGAGCCCACTCAGAAAAAAATTGAACTTGGGCAATGTTACTTTTAATCTGATTCAGGATTGGGCTAAAAAAGGAACCCAAATTCCTTTCGGTCCAGGCTCGGGTTTGCAGCCCTACCGAGTGAGATAAGGCACCGATGATGTTAATGATGTCCACCAAATACTATTGACAGAATCTTTCTTTAGAGACACAAACCACAAACAAGAAACACGGCCAAAGAAAAATCAAAAAATTATTTAGAGAAAATGAACTGAATTAATTGTAATTTTATTGAATATTATTACAAGGTTATACATTCCTATATTTCCTATAATTTAGCTCATTCAGGATTCATTTCTGAAAATTGAACAATCACAACATCGAATTGTAATAAATGTCATCAACAGTAACAAATGGGAGATATATTTGGGGGCTCGTGCTTGACTGTTACAAGTAGTAGTACCTTATCTGCTGCTATACTTCTTGAACCCTCCTCTTCTTTACTCTTTTCGATTTGCAAGTTGATCAAAAAACATTCCTACTTACTTTTCTCATCCTCATACCCTGATGCCTTTCCAGTTCTGCCGATAAAAAATGGCTCAGGCGAAGACTTGTTACTGTGAATGTCAAGACCGTGATAAGACCGGCCTGCTAAGAACTCTGCCCCCGACTTGGCGTTTCCTTTGGTTAGCAAATGAGGGTACTTGTCCTGAACCTGCAGAGACTTCTCTGTTGCAGTTGCTAAAGCAAGAGCTCCATCTTTATCTTCCTCAACATTCTCTGGTTGTGCAACACATCCAAATCAAATAAAAACAATTACAATATGTACAATGTTGCCAGCAATGTACTAGAAAACCGACTTGGAAGAAGGGAATTTTTTTTAATAAAATAAAAAATAAAAAAAAAGAAACCTGTCCCTACTATGTTATTTCCATGTAAAACATTGGATGACGTTTTTCACGCACTCTTCTTATATAAACAATACTTTTTCTTCTTTTCATATTCTGGTGTTCAGAAGTTCCAATTTAATTTCTGTGTCCTTAAAGTGCATAATAAACACTGATGTAAACACATATGCAGACATGTTGTTTAGGAGTAGGTGACGCACACATGCACACACGCACACAAAAATATAAGAACTAGGTGCGTGTGTACATATATATTTTTCTTTTTGAGAAATGTTTAATATATGTACACATGACATTGTAAATCTTCAAGATACAACACGGATGCGAACACTAGTGCATGTGTAATATATGCACACATGCGTGTGTACATATATTTTTTCCTTTTTGACTTTAACTGCTTGCTTCCACTTGTTCTCAAAAAGCACCAAGCAACTTATAAAACAGAACGTCCAAAAAAGAAAATCACAAATTTGGAAGTTTCATTTTGTTTTTTTTCCAGTCAATTTCATTTTTTTAAAAAAAATTAACTGATGTATAAATCCATTGCCCATTTAGCTAATAAGCTGTGGTGCATCTACGGGCAGCAAAAACTCTTTTTCACATGAGATCTTTCAATTAGCACAAAGAAAGTAATTTTTTAAAAAAAAATTTCATGCTCTGTGATAATATTGAATAAAGTTTGTTTTAATTAACAAAATAATATAAAACAACTAAAACCTAGGTTCACCAAAGTTGAAGTTTTCACTTCTATTTTATTCCTAAAGAAGTCATAACCACTTTGAAGGGGAAAAAGATAATTACCTTGCGGGTCTGAATCTTCTACATATCCACCTTGAAGGAAGGAAAATCTTGCTTCTTCTGAATGGTCTACTACCTCCACTATAGATGAAGACAGCAGATCACGGAATTCCATCACATATGCTCCTGTCCATTGACTTCCTCTGGGAATAAAAAGCAAATAATTTAAGCAATTAAATTTGATGAAACACAACAATTTTATGGATAAAAAGTTCTGTAAACATGACATGAAACACAATAATTTTATGGGTAATCAACTAGTTCTCTAAATATGACTTTTGGACAACATATCTCTGCACATATAATCTATCTTACATTAGGCTTACATTCTATAGCCTAACAAGCTTTATTGGAAAATATTAATTCTCACTGCACTATCATACTGGGTTGTGTGTTTTAAAATCTAATTTGCACATCTATTAACCAGTGTGACTCTCGTTAGTTGAGGGTGTTGTCAGGGATGGACTATGTACAGATCTACTCTTTACCATTATTTGCACAAATTGGTTTACTTCAGACATGCAGACATGGACCTATGTCTCATGTTTGACAATCCGAACTTCTATCACTGTGCCAAGCAATGGTCACTTGAGTCAAATTTGCAAATGTTACTTTAATTTAAGATCTTCTTTCAAACTATTTCTGCAGCCTGATGTGTGAATTGGAAAATTAGAAGTTTGGCCAATGGAGATCAGTTGAGAATTTCAGATACATAACGCTGAAGGAGGAGCTAAAGTTCAGAAGAAATATGGGAGTAAAATAAAGCCAAAGATAATACACATGCCTTCATCATTAACTATGAGATATCATTAGAGAGAAGAAATATTCAAATAAATAGGTTCAGAAAAGAGAAAAGTAAAGGAACTATGGAACCAAAGACCCTAAGAAGAACCATTCTCCAACAATAAGTCAATACTATAAACCAAACCAAAAAAAGAAAAGAAAAAAAATAGGGCCAATACTATATAAATGTCATTTAATAAACTATCACTAGCTGAGACAACCGCCTTATCCTTTGCTAACATCAGACTAGGTGTGATCCCCATGTGGTCAGATACAGCATACAAAATCCTGGAGCTGCGTTGAAATGTGTGTTGGACTTGTCAATAATATCAGGATTGTCTAATTTCAGACACTTGCCTACTGTTAAGAAGCTAAACTAGGGGAGACACCATAAGATCAAAGCATTTAAGGGTGTTACCTAGTGCATGTTCTGCCTGTGTGGGGTGCTAAGCCAGGAAACCAAAGAATTAGAGAGACTAAGTTTTGGTCATATTTTTGCACAAAGGGACGGCTCTCAGACTCAAACCTTTGTTCTCACGCTTGCGTGAGATAAAAGTGACTATATGAAAATATTGCAAAAGTACAGTTGGTTGAAAAAGAGGAATTATAATGAAGTCTAAACTGGGCGTATGAACCATAAACAGGAAGTGTAATCTAAGTGGTACCTGTTGAAAGCTAACATGGCTTCAAAAGGAGTAATAACAGGAGCCAAAAACTCTTTGCTATCCAGAAGAGCAGTTTGCGGACAAGAGACATATATGAAAATGTCACACTGCCAAAAACATAAAACTTTAATTACAACCTCAATACCTTCATAACCACTAGCAAAAGCAGACACTAATCTGCAGGTACATATGAGGTATACCTCAGGAAAGTTGGCAAGTTTTGCAGGGTTTGGTCTTCCCATAACAAGAGTGTAGGCCTTTTTACCAGCTCCTGTAATCAACTCTTTCATTTGATGAATCATATGAAGGTAACCAGCTGCAATAACAGTTCCGGTATAAAATATAGTCTTCTAGCATAACAAAAGGTGCATAACAAGAGTTAAATAATGGCTGGAAATCCAAATTTATATACCATGACAACATTTTTGGAACAGTATAATTATTAAAAATAATAAGTTGAGAAATCAAATTTTCATTTAAAAAAAAATCAAAATAATAAAATAGTGTGGCACTGTGGGCGCATTAGCTGAACGGATAAAAATAAAATGAATGGATCTTATTACTATGCGCATGGTTCGATTTCCCAAAATTAATCATCGGATCAATATTCAAGAAGTTCGTAACATGATAACAACAAAGGGAAAGATAAATAGATAAATAAATAAATAAATAAGGAACTCTATAGTACCAGTACAATCTAGAATCAAAACCAGGAACCATTGTCCAACATGGTTTTTCCACTAATCAATAGAATAAAAATCTACCAACTTTCTTAGAATAAAAATTTATACATAATGGGCGATAGATGAGAAATTATACACTAATCAATATACCAGCACTACAATCAATATTAGAACACCACCTATCTATCTAATTCAGGTGGTATCTCCTGCTCCTTCGTCAAGGAAAGGTGTATGTATGGTCCAAGTCCCATTAAAGTTTCATGCAGTAAGAATGTAAAGGCAAATTAGAGGGGTAACAGTTGTAGCCTGTGCCACTGGACCAAAGAGAGAAGGAAAATTATATATATATATGGTCCAGTGGCACAGTTAAAATAAAAAGAAGAAGAAAAAGAAAAAAGAGGGAAAAAAAAAAAAAGAAAAAAAAAAAGAAAAAGAAAAAAAAAAGGTCCACTTTAAATTTACAGCAACAACAATAATGCAATCCATTCACACCCACTGACTTAGCCTTAGGCCTGGTGTGAAAGAGGAAGATGAAAAGAAATAGAATCCTTTAACGCACTGAAATTAAACAAAAGATGAAAGAATCATGAGATATAGCACAATAAAGTACAATGAAAATTTTCATTCTGCCACATACCTACACCAAGAGTTCCCACCAAAATTCCAATAATATTTGCATCCTTCGCTTTCTCAACGAGGTAATATCTGCATAAACATTGTTTGTGCAGTAAATCAAACAATAAGCCGACAAACGAATGAGTAAATTGTGTGAGGTGGGGGTTGACAAATATCACGTTGTAAATACATAGCATGTAATTTAGATTCAAGGGAAGAATGGGAAATGAATATGTTGCAAACTATACCTACGCTTAAGAATCCTTCTTTGTTGAGATAAGTCGGTTACCAAACTATTTTCAGCTGCATCATACCTGACTGAGACCAATTCCAACAAAATTGAATCAGTATGGAATAATAAATCCAAAACTGGAACAAGAAATCAAATAAGCATTATGTTCAAGTGCTACAGAAATAAGTTTTACAGAAACAGCAAAATTAAAAAAAGTACCACAAATGTCAAAGGGGTTGATCTAAATAGAGAAGCCTATCTTTTATTTTTCTATATACTATAAGTCTATAACTAGCATCAAGACACCCTTTTTCTAGAGTTTCGCTAGCAGGTTAGAGGTTAATAGATGAAGACACTGTTCAAGCTCTATAAATACTACAACTCAAGAGTGAAGAGCGAATTCCACTGGACTTTACGAATGGAACCAACCACAACTCCTACGCCGTACATGGTTGACATGCGTAGAGCCTAGAAAAAGTAACTGATGACCTAGGATCTATTATACTACATTTTATCAAGCACTTATGCCATACGTGGCCAACATGGTCAGACACTTGCTCTACAGAAATCAAATCAGAAAGATTAGTGTAACTATATGAAATGGACTGGCTGGCCATAAAGATCAAACTAAAGCAATCTTTGGTCACTTGCTAATTATACAATCTAATAGCTTTTATACTGAAGGGACAAATAACTGACAGTGCCAACCATGCTACAGCGTACTATGATGTGGAAAAACAGGAACAAATGCCTTTTTCCTCATGTCTGAAAAAATCAACATCACTATCTCCAAGTGTAAAACTTAAGACATAAAGTCAAATTTTAGAAGAGCAGAAGCTCAAATGATATGCGCAGATGCAAAAGTTTATTTATAAGGAAAATATTTGCAGTAAAATTTCCAGGGAATCAATCACTTCAACCTATTTCACATCCATTGAATGTCAGCACGACATTTGCAAAAGCCAAATTATCATAACCAATCCAATAAAGCAAGCAGTCCTCTATTTTATGTCTCTCAGGTAAATTCCATGTCAAGCCTCCAATACTGTATTTTGCACAAGCTGCCTCCCCACAATCTTCATTAGCAGTAAGGTTACCAACCAATCCATCATGCCCATTGGAAGTCTTAAGGTTTTCTGATGGAGACATTACAGAACAGATAACATCAGCGCAATGTAGTTCGAATCTGGATGCAGACGCATTTGAACTTGATGACTTAGCTATCAATGCTTCTTTGATATCCTTTATCGCATGTGCATATTCCAGTCCAAAAAGAACCTGCATTTAAATAAAATAAAAGTAAGTCAAGACCATTAGCCACCACTCTTAACCAAAAAAGACCATTAACCACAGAAAAAATTTGAAAAGCCGTATTGACAGTAAGCCACACGAGAACGGTATAAAAAAAGTCAACACTGAAAAAACGTGAACAAAGTTCATAAAGTTTATCCGCAATTATATTTAGAATATATCCATAATTAAAAAGGAATCTAAAAGGTGACACGACAAATTGGATCTTGTTTAGATCGTCAAATTTGGGGCAAATGGATGCCCCATTGGAAGTAAAATCTATCCACCACGAATACACAGCTTTTGAATGCACAAGTTAACAGTGCAATCTGAAGTGGTGGGATACCACCATATAAAATACAACTATTTGGAAAACAAGATAAACCATATGCTATTAAAAACACAAATGACTAATTTTTCTCTTAAATCCAATGTCGGCTTGGTGCGCTCATGAAAAACAGGATTGCTGGCAATAAAGATAGCAGTCTGATTGTCACAATGCATCTAAATAGGAGTTGGAAGTTAGGAACATCAATACCCATCCTGAAGAAGAGAGCGAACCCACAACATCTCCGAAGTGGTGTGAGCCATAGAACGATACTCAACCTCAGCACTAAAACGAACAACTATAATTTGCTTTTTACCGCGCCAAGTAACAAGATTACCACCAATGAAGGTGCAATTACAAGATGTAGATCACAGCTGCCAACAAGTCAGCATCACTAAAACCTGTCACGAATAAGGAGGAAGAGAGCTTATACAACAGTCCTTCCCCCGAAGCACCTTTCAGATAACACAAAATATGAAATGAGGTTGACGAGGAGCATTCATATACTAACTAACCAACCCAATAACATATGTAATATTAGGACAAGTAACAGTCAGATAAATCAATTTTCTAACACGGCAACAATATCTGCCGACATCAACAAACAACTCCCCCGTTCACCATCGAGTTTGACTATGACCAATCTTAGAAAGAAGATCAAGCACATATTTTCATTGCGAGAGAGAGAGAGAGAGAGAGAGAGATGTCCTGAAGAGAGACTACAATACTAAGCAAATAGCATACGACACCCACGTCTTTTGTATGGAATTGTTGACCCAAATGTCGTTTTAACTCTGCAATACCAGTGGAATCACTCCCAAAGATGACAATATTGTCAACATAGACAATCCAAACAAGCACGAGGTGATGGCATGTCACAACCAAGATCCAAGATATGAACAAAGGCTACACAACCAAAAACACGAGGAGTGAACTTAAAGGGAGAGCTACCAGGATATAAAAGAGAAAAGGGAGTCTGATTATTTACATCAGCAGAAGGCATACAGCCAATAACAAGCAGTAAGAACTGCATCAGCACAAAAATGTTCTGAATCTCTTATAATGAATAACAAGGTACGAGCAACATCCAACAGATATCGATACTTTCGGTCGGCAACACCATTTTGTTGAGAAGTGTCGGCACCACTAGTCAAATGAATAATACCATGATCAGTGCAAAAGGACTTCATAATAAATTGTATATTTCAAGTCATTATCAGATTTAAAAAATTTAATATGCTTACCAAACTGAGTAAGAATTTCATTATAAAATTTAGCAATAATATGAGGTAACTCAGATCATTATGTCATTTAGGAAGTATCATCAACAAGTATAACAAAATAAAGACATCCATTCAAACTGGCGGTTTAATAAGGATCCTAGATGTCCATATAGACTACATCAAAAAATTTAGTCGACAACTATAACTACAACTTGGAAAGGAACTACGGTGAAGCTTTCCTAACCGACAAACTTCACATTTTAGAACAGATACATGATTCAACCTAGGAATAGCTAATCGCAGTTTTGCCAATGATGGGTGACCCAAACGAAAATGCCACTGAAGAGGAGAGACTGTAGCACTCAAAGCTAATGATATGTCAAAAGGAGGTTCACTAGGATCTAGATAATATAGCTCGTCCTTCTCATGCCCCAAACCAATCATCTTCTTTCTGAGGTTCTGAAAAACACACGAAGTAGGGGGAAAAGGTTAAGGAACAATGTAATGCTTTAGACAACCGACTTACAAAAAGCAAATTAAAAGGAAACTTAGGGGCATTAAGACTGAATGATAAGGACAATGAATTGGATAGGATGAAGAACATCTTTTTCAAGGATAGGCCCAGACTAACTATTAGCTAGAACTTAATAGGTGTTAAAGCAGACCGAAGTCCGTGACCCAAATGTGAGGAGATTAAGCCACACACGAAATATTACATGAATTGACTAAGGTAGCAGTGGATAAGATGGAAAAACAGTTTGCAATGTCTGAATCAACTCGCTAAGTTCAGTAGTGAGTGCATCACGAGAACCAAAACTACAAATTACGTGTCCAGAAGTAGTATGGGGCTGCAATGGTTGTGTAGGACTATCGATAGTTTGATGCAAATAATCTGGCTTCTCATTTTCACCCAACAATAAGGTTCAATATGATTTGTACCACCACAGTGATCGCACTTCCTGTCACCACGTCCACTAGAATGGCTACCACCACGAGAACTACCACGACCTCCACTGCTAGAGATTAAGGCAGAAAACACTGAAGGAGTCGAAGTGGAGTTCTGCCACAGAGAGGACCTCAATAATCGAGAATAAACATTTGCAGAAGGTAACATCTCGCTAGCAAGAATCTGATCTTTAAAGCCACAACGACTAAAGTCCAAACCAGACAACAGTGAAGCAATCATAAAGTCCTCCCAATGACGCTTTTGTTGCTCCAAATCAGCAATAAACGGTATGTTGCAGTAATTGATCCCACAAATTTTTAAGCATGTTGTAATACTCAGACTGTGTTTTTCCGGACTGCTTAGTAGTAAAAATCTTCTCATAAACCCGAAAAACATTACTTTGCTGTGAATATGACTCTCCAAGAAAATTCCAAATCTTCTTAGAGGAATCACAATATTCAACTTTAGAGACAATACTAGGTTCCTTACTACGCGACAGGCCCACAACCATCCCATAACAATAGAATCCTCACAAATCCAATCCTCATGCTTCTTCGTGTCATCAGGAGGATTTTCAATTAAATACTTCAATTTCCTCTGCTCACGTAGGAAAACTTGCACAGCATGGACCCAAGCGAAGTAATTAACGCCATTCAATTTTTTCGAGGTAATCGACTTAGGCATATCATCATCCTTGATAGATTGTGGCTTAGCATCAGCTATGTCTTATATTTTAACAAAATGAAACAGAAGTGGAACAAAATTATAGGTCTAGATGCAACCAAAAGCCAAAAAAAAAAAGCTAATGTAAAGCATAATCTCATAGTCAATAGCAAAAATAACAGCACCAATAAATCTTAGCAGCCCAAGCACCCAATCAAGTTTCAGAAGAAGATTCAATCCCCACACAACAAAACAAAACCAACAGCCTGCCAAATACCTTCAGTCAAACCCCCATTTTTGGGGGGAAAAAAAATCAATCCAAATGCAATGAATCAACAAACAATCACCAAGAAATCTCCTTTAAGGTATATACAACACCCTTTAGGATAGATTGCAGCAGGAAAAACAAAACAAAAAAATTAAAAATTAAAAATTAAAAATTAAAAAGCAAAAACACATCTAGAATGCCGATCAAAAAATCTTAGGCTGAAATTCAAAAATTGTTTTGAAAATTGAAAATGACCCTCAAACAGTTTCAAAATGCACAACAAATACCACCATAATTACCAAAATATTCAAACGAGCCAGTTGGTATGGTCCTCAACCTGTGGCATGACATTAGCGTACATAAACACTGACGTCAAATTCTTCTGGTGCTCCGCAACTGAATGTGAATGAGTTCTAGGCTTTGATTTGGCTATGATACCAAGTTGAAGATGGTGAGATTGTGTTTGTAGGGAGTGAGTGAAGAAGAAAATGTGATCGTGAAAAATAGAAAATTGAATTATCAGCTCATACACTACCACTCCATAAATAGCGAGGTTACAAAAATGCCCTTAACCCCTCAGTACAATATGGCCCAAATTCTCTAACAGTTCCAAATTTCATATTAGAGTCGAATAATATTTAATCATCATTTATAATATTATTTAATCAAAGAAATAAAAATAAAATAAAATAAAAAAAAAGATGTATCCTTGCGCCCTACTTTTCTGTGTTCGGGTCATGTTAGATCCATGCTTCTTAGTTTTTGGTAGCAAAAATTTTACTATCATAGTTTGCCCAATTCCTTAAATGAGGTTATTAGGAAAAGGCCTTGAGAAATTAGATATAATAGATAGAGTTAAAGAAGAGAATTCACGTGTCAGATTCAATTGAACGGGATCAAGAAGGATGATGATGAGTTTGCCCCAGTTCCTCCCACATTATGGCATCGCGATAAGCAATCTGAAGCAATTATATGGTTAACCATTGCACAAAGAATGTGTCTGAATAGAATTAAACATTTATTCATGCTTATTTTAATCATCAACAAGAAGATTTTAATTTTTATCAAACCTCACAGCATTCAACACACTTTACAAAAAAAAGTCAGTCAAGAAACAAGATCAAGTATATAAAGTCATTAGTTATACCACAACAGGCTTGTCACTGGTTGATGCATGATAAAATAGATTCTCGGCGCAGTTGGATATATTAATCGGAGCTTTCCGAAAAACAAATAATGCGGGAAGAGTCGATGTCCTGCAACACCACCCAAAATAAAAGGCATTCAATTAGGAAAAGTAAAAACAAAAAACAAACTAAATCCAATCATCAGACCAACACTCAGAGAACCAAATTACTGAACCATATAATTGCAGAAAAATTAATTGTAAAGAACAATCAAATGCAATAACAATATACTCACGGGCTGAAACACGTGTGCCCATAATGAATGACGCAATCTGCATTAATGTGAGATGCTCCAACCTCATCTACACAACAACTGCCATAGGTGGTATCTGCCATTACATATAACCCTACATCCCTATTATTTTGGATGTCTTCGCCACATGGTTTATTGAGTGATCGAAGCTTATCACGTAGAGCACTTACAACTCTTATTGAATCCTTCAATAACTCATCTGGAAACTAACAATTCAAACGACAAGAACTTGTATTCAGACTATCAAGTAATCACAATAAGCCTGGACCTACTGGTTTTAGGTGCGGAAAATTTGCCGTAAATAAATTGGAAACAAAATTTGAAATCCTGTAGTGCTGCTTGATAAAAACGAAAAATTAAGCATTGGAAGTTTTAAGAATTCGATTTCACTTATTAAACTTCTAACTATTAATTATAAATTGAGAACTTCCTTGATACTTGTTGGAGTTTTTAAGTATTCAATGATAAGTCGAGTCTTCCTCACTAAATTTCACTCCAACTTATTCTTTTATGTGATATCCAAACTGCATTATCAAATGCACTGAATTGAGTACTTACTTAATCTATTCAAAATTAAGTACTAACTTAGATTGTCAATTGTTTGAAACTAAAGAAATTATGGCTGCTAAAACTAATTCAGTTTATCCAAGTTGATCAATACCAAATAATGATATACTCCAAATTCAATTTCTGTTTTGACAGGCTCTGTTTAGCTGTCAAGAAAAGGTAGGAAATCGAATTAAATTTTGAACCTTAATAAAATTCATTCTCTCTACGCAGTGTAATAAATTTTTTTATTTTTTATTTTTGGACTCAACTGAGAACTACCAAACGCATTCAGTTAGTTCAATTGAGCCGAATTTTCCAAAGTTCAGTAACCAAAACAACATCAAATGTAAAAATATTGCGCAATTCATTCCCTTTAATTTTCCTCAGTTTCTTGACAACCAAACGAAGATTTGAAAAGATGAAAGAGGTTTTTCTAGGGTTTAACAATGCGAAAAAAACCATATAAACTGCTTGGATTGGAATAGTAGAGATGAGAAGTTAGAGAGTACTTGCAAAGCGACTCTGGTGAAGTTTCTGCTTCGAATGAAATTGGCCGTGCGAGCAATTTCGTAGTCTGATTCCAACTCCATGATTCGTTCCGTTACTCTCTCTCTCTCCTCTCTCCCTCTCTCTCCCCTTCAAACCACAACATTTGTTGTATAAGCAACGCCATTTGTAGGGTTGGGCTGGGCTGGGCTGGGCTCTGCCTGAGTAAATGCCACTGTGAGCTGGCCTAAATTTATTTTCTGAGGCCCAAAATCTTATTGGAGAACTTTTATGCCATGTTTTGGCTGTTGGAGTTGGAATATTTGAACCAAAATTTTCTTCAATTCCACCAATTCTAATTCAAGACTCCAATTCCATGCACCAAACAGAGCATTAAAGTTTTGCGCAATAGTTAGGTCCTCACTAGTGAATAACTATACCATTCTCAACCAATAATAAATGGACATATCATCTTTAACTATCAAATTTAATATAGTGGGTAGATATCCACTTACCAAATTAAAGATGGTATAGTTCTTCACTAATAAAGACCTAAGTATTGTTCTAAAGTTTTTATACGAATCTCCAATTCAGTTCCAACCTACTCCGAACTCATACAGAGGTGGAAAAAATCATACTGAAAAATTGGGTGTTGGATTGTATTTGAGTTACTTTTGGAAATAAAATAAAATCTCAAAAATGAATATTTATTATATAATAAATAGTTAATAGGATGATTTTGGTAATATCACGTATGCAGGAGTGGAGACAATATTATATCAAATTTTAAAATTTTATTTTTCTAAAAAAAGGCCTAAGATAGAGCCCGTTGACTGAAATTTTGGCAAGGCTTAAGTATATAGATTCATAAACAACATCAACAAAAAAATGTATTTATATATGAAGTGTTGAAAATATGAATAAACGGATAAATATATCATAAATACGGTAAATATCCTTATTCCATGTAATATTTGTTAACCACTGTGACACATATTGCATGGAGGTCTACAATTATGTTGTTCAAAGTTGCTTTGAATGTGGTAAGAAAATTACATTTTAATTTGGAACTACATTTGTTGTATGTAGGTTTTATTAACTGAAAAGGTTAAGAGAGTAAACATCAATTGTCGGTACGATCCATTCTTATCTTTCTGTTTTGGTTGAGCTGTATAACAATTGGTTCAATGGGACCATGGTTGCTTTTCATTTGAGTGAAATGATGTTAAAATTACATTTTAACAATTGGTTCAAGTGGAATGCGGTGGGGTCATGCTTCCTTGCTCGGTTGCCCGTTTAAAAAATAAAAATAAAAAAAACCACCAGTAGGTTATTAAACGGTGCTAATACTCAATTCATATATATCCAAACATTTTTTCATCTAAATTCGATGTGAAAAAACGAGTAAGCTAGTAGGCGGTGCTAACACCCAAGCACTTCCCCATCCAAATCCAACAAAAACTCTCCTCGCACGCATGCCCCAAACAGAACCTACATGTTTCCCACGAAATAGAACCAAACACTTTCATAATAAATTCAAGTTGAACAACCAACGTATGAAAGTCGTCAAATGTTATAGGTTGCACTTCTTTAAATTTTGGAAAAGCATATCAAAATTTGAATCCACGGATTTATGATCAGAAACAACAACTGATCCATTAGAAGGGTTCAAGGAAAGGAACAACTGGAACTCATTTGTCCATGCAATTTCAATATGTAAACATGAACAAGCCAATATTTACGAGTACTCACAACGCATACGGCAAAACACAATTCGTCCAAACAATATTTTAAAAAATATTAATTAATTAATTAATTAAATAAAAAAAGGCATAATACCCCTTGAGTTCCCTGCATAAAGCCTAAATAGCACAGTGGTTATATATAGAGAGATACAAATAGAGAGAGAATGTGTCCTGCAAAAAGGTTATTGCACTAATAACATCCTTGTAAAGGAACGAACTATATTTTTATATACGCCTATGATACGATTTCTAGGTATATGAATTCAATTTACTCTACCATGCCACATACTAGAAAAATAAAAAGACGCACATTTGTAACAATTTTAACTGGAGATTCATGCATTTCATCATCAACTGTGAATCATATTTGTCAAAAGAATAGCAGTTAAACAAACACGCATATCTCTTGGATCACTGTAAGTACTGCACAAAGTTTAGACCAAAAATGTAAGGTTTTGTAAGATCGAAAAATCACAGAATAAAATTTTGGGAGACAGTCATGAAAACTTCAAGAACTACTAAAGTTTAAACAGTGTTCCTTTGAACCTTCCTTTTCTTCTTTGCCCCTGCAGTCTTTTTCTTGTCCTTTCTCTCCCTCTTCTTCAAAGCAGTCATATGGGCCTTGAGAATAGTTGCATAAGAAGCTTGGAAGCGCTGGTGATCCTTTGCCCCCACCTGTTATTTCAAGAAAACCGGGTAGGAGTATTAGCAAAACACAACCACATAGCACTGCTTCTAATAAGTCCGAAGATACAGGCAAAGGCAACATGACAAAAAGGCTAGGGAATGCTATACAAAAGATGATCCGCCATTTGGGTGCACCAAGAAGAAAATAAAAAAATTCAGTTGCTATCCATTCCCAAATTATAATTTCAATATGAGGTTCCTAGTGAACCACCACAACAAAGAAAATAAAAATGAAAATGAAAACATATATAGGTAGATCAACTACATTGTATATGTAAGCAAAAGAGGCATTGATCTACTAAAAAAAACATTTCTCATCAGTGTGAGTGATATTCATGCTTAAACGTATTGGTAACTTTTTTGAATTCAGTATAACTTCATCCATGCCAGTTTGAAGCAAACACAATGGAACATACATGAAGTCACTGAATGACAAGAAGAGAGTCATATACAAGCATGGGCCTGCTTTCATTAGATCTGTTCATATCGAAGGAACCATATTTGAAACCACAAATATGGCCAACTAATACTAACTAAATTATATTACAGAAGTCTGTCCAAATGTGGGACCATCTCAAGATTATTCAGAAAGACTAAATAGCAAAAGCTGGCACTGCAAGAATTTTGGACCCACCCTCCTTTGGAAAGTTCAGTGCTTGTTGGGCAATTTTGGAGGTGGGACGGATGAGGAAGTTGAGAAACTTGGGAGGTTGATAGATGTAATGGTTGTTGTTTCAGATTGTGGATGGTATGCTACATGTAATCAAGTCACCCCAAGATTTCAGGAAGACGGCGTCGAAAGATTGGTTTGGAGGTTTGACATGTGACACAGTGGCAACGGGTATGGTGGCTATGTGGGTGGCGACGAGTATGGTATTTATGGACTTGCAGGTTTCCCCTTTTTCTTTCCTAACCCTAACCCTAGGATTAAAATGTAATTAATACGAAAACTAACAATTAATCCATTTATTCACATTGCTTTTAAGTCGTAAAAAAAATAAATCTTACTGCCCATCAAAGTGAAATAAAAATTTAGAGATGTAAATTTTCTTATTTAATCCACAAACAATTAATAAGAAAATAATCATAAATTAAAAGGCTATATATGTCTGCAAATTTAATCAAATGTAATTGATAGAAAAATTGATGTAGTAAAATTTAAAATAGTTTGTAAATTCAGAAATTGAAAATGTGCAAATGTAATCAAATTATTTGCAAGTCTTAAGGGTATTTTATACTACCCTTGAATACATATAATTCAATGTATGTATGGGTAAACTTGTCTTTCATTCATTAAAATAAGGTTACTTCTCTCAATTCGCTCTTTCTTATGATTTTTGAAAAAATACATTAATGTAGCTAACGATCCAAAGACAGTAGCCCTGTTTGTGAAAGTCACAAAACCTTGAAGGACGGTTAGCCGTACTAAACTCTTTTCAACTGTATAATAGGTGAAACCATAAGGGTGGTTTGTGTAATTTAACCATTTATTTTATTAGATAGAAGATAAAAATGGCTAAAAGAATAACTGAAGTATTCCCACTCAGTGAAGAGGCCTCGGATCTTTCTAACCCTTTCAGTGTTTCCATTTCTTGCTCCTAATTTCAGCTGCAAATATGATTTCTGACTAAATGGGCAATCAATTTTCCTATTGATGTTTGGGCTTTACTTGTAACCCCTTAGACGGGATCTGTTCTTTTTTCTACTATTTATTTATTTACTATTTTTCTAGCTATTTACCTCTTCTTTGGAGACCATCTCCCTAAGGGGAGATAGAGTCCAGCTATGATTAGGCAAGGTCACCAGCAAACAAAACGAATAATGTCACATGAAATCTTCACTAAAATCATATCATTTTTATTCTTTTAAAAGACAAAAGATCCATAAATCAAAAATCTTCACTAATTGTCATAGTTTGCTTCTTTGTGACTATTAATTCTCATCTTTATTTAAGGTTCATCCATGAGTTGAATCATGTAATAGAATTATGTTATAAGTCTATTAAAAAGAAGAATCTAGAAGTTAGTCTATCATGAAATCTAGGACTGTGCATGACATTTTCCAATTGAACACTATGACTGTGCATGGAACTATTTGAAAGTAGTATTCAAAAGAATACAATATTGCAGGTCTTGTCAGTTCCATACTTCCATAAGGCATCATGAGACATTTAAGGCAACCAAATATAGGAAGAAGCAGGAGATCTACATAGCAATGGCTTTCCCTTTCTAGAAATTCAAATAGTCCACACACCCATGATGGACTGAATAATGCTGAGTGTACAAAGGGTGGGACTCAACAAGAGTCGGCAAAAAGATGCTCACAAGAAAAGAGAAAGGCAAAAATATTGAATTCAAGCCCTATGAAATTTTGAGGCTAAAAGTTACAGTAAATCTCTTACTATTAGACCTCCTTTTCCTGCTAGGATTGGAAATCCTGTATTTTACATATCCATACGATTGAGTCCTTGGGTTTCCGAAATAGTGTAAAAAGAAGTGCTTCGAATCATTGCTATTTGACCCGGACCTGTTCTAAAAAAGTCGAAGTATTTCGAATTGTTTGTTGACACGGACAAAGTCAGGGAAAACCTCTTAAATTATTTCAACATTGGACCTTGGACATATAATAGTTCCGAATCGAATCTCTTTAGAAAGAAGAAATCAATCTCCAAAAGCTGCAGTTTACCAAAAAGAATATTTCAAACACATTGAATCCAAGCCCTCTGAAAAATTTTAGACCGAAAATAGCAGTAAATTTATATATTCACAATTAGTTCTGTGAGCACGTAGAAGCTTTTGGTTACATATTAATCACTTATACAACATGTCAGGTTTTATTGTTAAAGTCCATGAGCAGAAATGCAATAAAGTAACAAAAAAGAAAAAAGAATTGTTCGAGTACATACCGAAGTGGAAATTGTCTTTTTGCCATCAGTTGCCCGAATAAGGCATCTGTACTCAATTGTTTCACCATCAGTTTTCAATTTATTCCTCTGGACCTTGGACTTCAAGGATGCTGGTGGGGAAACCATAAAAACAATAATCAATATCATAAGTAGAACAGAAGCGCCTGCAACTCAAGCACTCATATAAAGGAATGAATGTTTTTAAAAAAATTAAAAAATAAAAACAATAATGGAAACAAACTTACAGCGTTTAAGAGTAACCCAAACAGAGCCTTTTTCTGTGCTGCGCTCAAACATGCTAGTAAGCTCATTGAGAAATGGATCTAGCTGTAAAAGTACCTGACAAAACCAATGGGGAAAAAAGAACGAGGTCAGCCTTGGTTTTCAGCATCAAACATGTATATAATCAATCTTGTTTAAAAGAACACACATTGAAGTTGAAGAAATGAAATAGAGAATGAAAAACACAATGATCAAGTCCACAAAGATGACACCCTTTGGCACAAGCACCTCTATAATAGACCTAACACCTTTTAGCTCCCAACTCCACATCATTAGGCCAAAAAATTTTAGAACGACATGGCAAGGACATACTGAATTTATACATGTACAAATATGTAGTTGGAAAAAGTCACAGTGCAGCATACTTCTTCTTTTCTTTAATCAAGTAGTACGCATGTGTAATGAATTCGTGCTCCTGTCACTAATTTATTTCACAAACTCTTGTCACTACCGTACTTAACCATGTGTAATGCATACTTGTTCATGTTGTTCCTGTTTCTCTAAACTGAATTTTTACTGTTTTTAATTGCAAGGGGAAAAAAAATAAACCAAGCCCATATAGCATATAACATATTTTCCACTTCCCAATTCTGCACTTTACTAACTTTTATGAGGGTGGTGAATCAGAGAGAAGATTGCTAACAACAGTCACGTTCCCCATACATTCAAATACATGCATAGGTGCATTAGTATATTCACTAAAATACATAATAGATGTTCAGGTATACAATTAAATAATTGTAGTTCGAAGGTTTTACCCATCTTGCCATCTTTTATGCCAAAGGTTCTCAATAACTCCACATACTTGGAGCATTCTGATTTCTGACCTAAGCAGTTAAGTTTAAGTAGATAATTCTCACTGATTTAGTGAGATAAACTAACTAATAGCAAAAAAATTACATAAATAAATAAATAAATAAAAATTCAGCCAACCCTCCACTCTTAGGCTTCTAGTGAGTACATAAGTATAAACAATGCAATTGCACTGTAACAATGAAATACTGGTGTTGACTAAAAAACACACACATACTCAGCACATTAGCATCAAAAACCATAGAGAACCCAATAAAGCAAATATAATACACATAAATATATATATATATATATATATATATATATATATATATCACCACCAAAATTATGCAAAATCAATATCGTTTCTAACCTATCAAATTACGCATGCAGTTCAGATTTAATTATTTATTTATTTAGTAAAAGCTAAGTAGATTGATTCAACAAAGATCAAGAATCGAGAACTCAGACATCGATTATGAAAAAGGCAAACACTAGCATAATTACTTTTCGGATTTCCAATAGTTATTTAGGGCAATTGCATCAATAACTTCCAACAATCTAATGGATTGGAGCAACATTAAGATTCGACATTTGTATTGTGTATATCTATATGTATATTGTATGTTGTAGAGAGAGAAAGTGATTTACCATGGCGAAACTACTGCTTGAGAGTTGAGATCAATCACGATGGCGAAACACTAATGAATCAAAGTGAATCGTTCGTTCTCACGATCCAGTACACAATACGCATATACAGACGGAGTATTTATAACTAGGGAAAAAGAGAATTTCTAGGGAAATTTGGATTTTGACGACTTTAGGAGCGAAATCTACCAAACTGCCAATTTGACCCAATATTTTACATATTTAACAAAAGACCCAAATTATCAAACAACTTTCACTCCTCTCTTTTCGTAAAAACTCATACAATTACTAAAATACCCACCATGAAGCATGTTTCAATCCAATTTATGCATGGGTGTGTATTTTTTGAAATTACGAACATTACCCAATGATGAGCGCTGAAAAGTGCGTATTTAAACCCCTTAAGCTTAGGCATTCTAGTACCCTTATCTATCTTACTTTACCATTTTAGATTGATTTCGTATTATTTTCATTTTCAGACACTTATCTCAAAAATAAGCTAACTTAGCCAAATAAGAGCAGAAATGAAGCAATTCTGGGATGAATCAAAGAAAGGAGCCAAGTGGAAGCAAAAGGAAGAAAAAGGTGGAATTCAACATCTTCGATCGATCTCAGATCAAGGTTCGATCGATCCAACATGATCAATCGCAGCACTTCAAGATGGATCAAAGCCATGATGACATTTTCAGAGATCTCAAAAGTTCGATCGATCCGACATCATTCTTCGATTGATCGAACTACCTTATCCTTATCTAAATGATTGATCTTATCTAGTTGTACCACCCTACTAACCACTTTTGTCCTTTTCCCAAAAATATCTTCAAAATATCTCAAATTTGTCTTTATCCAAAAAGTGCCGCCATTGAGGATCGCTCCAACTTCAGTTTGATAGATCTCAGCCATGTTCGATCGATCCAAGTCCAAGGTTCGATCGATCGAACTTTTTCCGGTGCGAAAAAGTTAAATTTCCAGCTCACAAAAAGTTGTCGTTTATCCAATCATTGGGGAATATTTGCTACACAACCTCAACTCATTTTGTGTGTCATTTTGACCTACCTATATAAAAATAAGAATTACTTTTTACATCATATCACATCATATCATATCATACCTTGTAGAACTCTTAGAGAGGAAGCTTAGAGGAGGAGGAGGCTAGAGATACCATTGGAGACTTTTCATCAACCAAGGAGAAAATCTCTACTATGGAGTTAGCCCTTGAGGGTTGGAGAAGCACTACCATGAGTGGCTAGACATCCTCTTGGGGCTAGAGTTAGCCCCAAGCATGCTTTCTACATCTTAATTTTGTATATTATTGAGGGATTAGTGTTGTAATACATGTTTTGGCACTTATATATATATATATATATTGTTTATTCAATGATTTATATGGTTTAATGCTTCCAATTGATCATGTCATTCTATCCATATGTCTATGTATGCTAGAATAGATGTTTATATGTTTATCTCTATTTCTTGTGTTATTGATGTATGTCTATGTGTACTGATGCCATAGATCTAGAGATTGTCAAAACATTGTGCTTAATAGAATGCTCTTGTAATTTTCTAGATGGTTCATGCTCATTTCTTGATGGATTGTGCCTCTCCCTTAGCTTAATTAGTTTAATTTCGTGTCATTAGCTTAATTGTAGTGTAGTGGTAGCATAGTTATTAGATGGGAGGACAATCCATGCTTGTTGTTTGATGTTCCATACTTTTGAATGCAAGTAGCATATGTCTTTAACCTTGTGGTGTATTTGGTTTGTGAACTTAATGAAAGGATTAATGACTTGCTAGATATATTGTGCTTTTCACATGCTAGTTAGACAATATATACTTAATTGTTAGATATATTGTGTTTTTCACATGTTGCTTAGACAATATATGCTTAATTGGTCACCATTGCTAATTGAATCAACCAAACACACACACACACACATCAATATTGCAACACACATTTCCCTCATTAGTCACTTGTTACAGGTGTAGAAAAGTATTGTTTGGTGGTGACCTCTAAACCCCAAGAGATCTCTCTCTCTTACTTACTCTTTATTGCATTCAATTATTTAGTTTAACTTGCTTTCTAGTTTAATCAACCAACCAACCATTTGTTTGATCACTCGACCTACTAACCCTAATAGTGATTCCACAACCAAATTCGACTCTAATCCCTTGGGACGATCCCTACTCACCCTAACTATATTTTTAGTGAAGGTAGTAGTGGCTTCTAGAAATGTAAAACTTGGCCCTCGCCTTAATGCACACTCTCTTAAGTTTGTGGTGCGGCGACACACCATAGTTTTTTGCGCCGTTGTCGAGGATTAGGCAAAGTCGTATCTGTGGAATCAATTAGGAATTAATACTCTTTTGATCGTGTCTTTACTTTGTTTTTATTTTTCTTTTGATTACTTATTGTGTTTGTTCATCTTTGACAAGGTGTATTGAGCTAGGAAGCAAGCAAAGGAGTATTCAAGCAAAGGAGCTAAGCAAAAAAGGGGAAATGCTAAAAATTCTACAAAAATTGCTAAGCTAAGCTATAAATTTGGAGTTGAAGTGCTATAGGACCTTTGTGAGACTTTCTTTACTCAATCCTTTAGTTAAATCGTCGGCCTGCCTGGAGGCTTGTTTTTAATTTCCTAGATAAATCGTGAGCCTGCGTGGAGGCATTTTAATTATTCTTTGCATTATTATCAAAGCATGGGAATATGGGATCATTGTATGTGGAAGAAGTTTGTTGATTATTGATTTGTTGCGAAGGAGGAGTGCTTGCTTGTTTTGTTGTGATTTGTGTGTCGCTTGTAGTCCGGAATAGACCTTGTCATATCATACATTCTAGGCATTCACATGGAAAATCTAGAGGGTAATCTTGGCTACTTAGACCCACGTTTCATGCAAAACCTACCTTTTAATCAACATGGCCCCGGAGTTCAAGCTCCAATTCTCCAATGGTCCTTCGTGATCATTATAATCTTCATGCATACCATGCACCTACTTGCATTGTGTTGCCTCATTTTGAGACTAATCAATATGAAATCAAGCCCGAGACCATTCAAATGGAAGCATACCATGCACCTACTGGCTTTCATTATCCTCAAGCTCTTTCTAGTAATTCCACATTTGAAGATAAGGTTTTAATGGCCTTGGGTAGCTTAGAGAAGGATACCAACTTGTTGTATTCCCACTCTCAATCCATATCAAAGCTTGAATCCCAAATTGGGACCATAACTAATGCATTGAATGAAAGAGAAATTGGGAAATTACCTAGTCAACCAGAGAGAAATCCAAAGGCACAATTTTGTGTGGAAGCAAACCCTACATCGGGATGTTCTTCCCAAGCTCAAGCGCAAGCCATCACCAGCTTGAGAAGTGGTAAACAAGTGGACAATAGGATTGAACTACCAAAGGAAGATAGTGAATCGGTGCAACCTAAAGTTGTCACCCATCCAATTCCCAATTCCACTCCTACTTCATTGAATGAAAATGTTCATAACCGGAACTCTCAATCTTCTCCATCATCCTCTCAAATTACAAAGTCTTCTGAGCCAAAAGCTCCATTCCCCTATGCTTTAAAAGAAACTTCGCCTTATGGGAGGCAAGAAGGGAAAATACATGACATGATGGAAGTTTTTAAGTAAGTCAACATCAATCTTCCTCTTTTGGATGCCATTAAGCAAATTCCACCTTATACAAAATTCTTGAAAGATCTTTGCACACAAAAGAGGAAGAGCAAGGGACCAAACCCTAAAAAAGTGTTCCTTACGGAGCAAGTGAGCTCCATTCTTCAACAAAACACTCCACTTAAGTTCAAAGATCCCGGTGTTCCGACTATTTCTTGTGTAATTGGAACCCATGAAATTCGTAGAGCTCTTCTTGACTTAGGTGCAAGTGTTAATTTGATTCCTTACTCCGTATATGTCTAATTAGGGTTGAATGAATTGAAGCCACCTCGGTGGTGCTTCAAATGGCCGATAAATCCGTCAAAACACCTAGAGGCATGGTTGAGGACATCCTTGTCAAAGTGGATAAATTCTACTTTCTGGTTGATTTTGTAGTTCTTGATACCGAACCGGTTGCTAATCCCACCAACCACATCCCAATCATCTTGGGAAGACCATTCCTTGCCACCGCAAATGCAACAATTAATTGTAGATCCGGGATTATGGACCTTTCTTTTGGCAATATGAGATCAAACTTAATGTTTTCCATGTAAGTCGACATCCCATAGATGAAGATGAGTGTTGCCTTGTTGATGTGTTAGATGAGGTTGTTGAGGAATCGATTCCAACAATGGTAATGAAACAACTAATTGAGGATAGTCTTTCATCTCTTTTATCCGATGATCCTCTTGCTTCTTGTCTTCTTGAAATGTATGGAAATTATGGATTTGATGATGAAAAATTAATGAATGAAGTAAGCAATCTCATGGAATCTGTTGCAAGCTTAGATTTTCCATCTTGGAAAACTCCAATAGAACTTCTTCCTCCACTCTCTAGCACTCTACCGATCTCATCTTTAGTCTCTCCACCAATTCTTGAGCTTAAAATTCTACCTTCCAATCTCAAGTATGCATTCTTAGGACCAAAAGAGACTCTTCCAATTATCATTTCTTCAAGTCTTGAAAAAGACCAAGAAGATGCTCTCTTAAGTGTGCTTAAAGAAAATAAGGAAGCCATAGGATGGAGTGTGGCGGATCTTAAGGGAATTGACCCTTCTATTTGTATGCATCGCATACTTATGGAAGATGATGCAAAACCCTTTAGGGATGCTTAAAAGAGACTTAATCCAAACATGAAGGAGATAGTTAAAAAGGAAGTTGTCAAACTCTTAGATGCCGAAATCATTTACCCAATCTCTGATAGCAAATGGGTGAGTCCAACTCAAGTAGTTCCCAAAAAATCAGGGATTACAGTGGTTGAGAATGCAAAAGGTGAGGAAATCTTTAAGCGTACCGCCAATTCATGGCGTGTATGCATTGATTACCGCAAATTGAATGCCCCCACTAGAAAGGATCACTTCCCCTTTCCATTCATTGATCAAATTCTAGAGAGATTGGCCGGGCAATAATATTATTGCTTCCTTGATGGCTATTCGAGGTACAATCAAGTAACCCTCGACCCATTAGACCAAGAGAAAACCACCTTTACATGT